TCCTCTCTCACTCTCTCTTTAAAAAAAAAAAAGAATAATAATCCTGCATCACATGTATGCACAAATGCATGTACACAAATGTACTCTATGCTTACCACGCTAACTCAATTGCAGTCTCAAAAAATAGAATTCTTGGGCTGGTGTTTCAATGGTAGAGTACTTGCCTAGCACTTGTGAGGCACTAGGTTCAATCCTTAGCACCACATAAAATAAGTAAATAAATATAGTGATTTTTAAAAATCATTTTGTTGGGGCTGAGGATGTGGCTCAAGCGGTAGCGCGCTCGCCTGGCATGTGTGTGGCCCGGGTTCGACCCTCAGCACCACATACAAAGAAAGATGTTGTGTCCGCCGAGAACTAAAAAATAAATATTAAAATTCTTTCTCTTCTCTCTCTCTCTCTCTCTCAAAAAAAATAATTTCTGTTGAAATTCAGGTTTAAAACAAATTAAATTTCAAAAAAAAAAAATCCAAAATCTCTCATATAGAAATTCTAAAGTTGCCACTGGGAGAACTCTAGAAACTCTTCACTTTTCTTCACTTTTCTTGAAATTTTGTGATTGTCATCTGGGGGGAAAAGTGAAGGAAGTAATAATTTTGGAAAGAAGTTCTTATACCTTCGTAAAATTGAGGCATTACTAAATTATTCTCTGTATTAATTATTGATAGATTAAGAACTAAACATCCTATTTTTAATATGTTACACAACATCAAATATAAGATGCTATGGATTATAAAATGAAGTTACTTTTCACATTAATGAAAAATACAGTGCTCAAGACAGTACAAAACTGGGACATCAAAGGACTGTTTCTGGGCCAAGAACATAGATTAGCAGTGGAGCAGTTGCCTAGCATATGTGAGGTCCTTGGTTCAATCCCCAGTACCACCCAGAAAAGTTGTCTTGTTGTAAAGGTGAGTGAAAAATAACCTGTAACACAGAAAGTGACACCAAGGAAATTTGCTTCAGTTTGACACTGAGTGGAATGCTGGAAGACAAAATTTCCTCTAATAACAAACTCCACACTGGTCCTCCTGTTAGATTTATAGTTTGAATTATCAGTATGATCCCAAAAATCTTAAGCAGAAAAATTAAAAGTTGTCTTAAACTCCTCTAGGAGACTGACTAAAGTAAGACAGATAAATGGAAGCACTTAGTTTCATTCCAGGCTAACAACAATTACCAGATAGCAGCAATTGTGAATTATATCGCAGCTGTAGAAATGATGAAATGTTGAAACATTTAAAATTAATTTGGATATTTCACATTAGAATCAATCAGTGAAATATAGTACTTCAAATGCAAATGTGTTGTTGACCTTTGGGTATAATACTGTCATATTTAAACTTTTATATTCTTTTGCAACTTAGTATTCAAAACTGTGTGTCTTTTGTGAATTTTTATTTTGAAACTATAGGGAAGAATTGGATATCGATCTAAAGGATATTTACTACAAAATTCGATGTGTTTTGATGCCAATGCCATCACTTGGTTTTAACAGACAAGTGGTGAGAGACAATCCTGACTTTTGGGGTCCTCTGGCTGTTGTTCTTTTCTTTTCCATGATATCATTATATGGACAGTTTAGGGTAAGTACATCTTATTTTGTAATAAATTCAAAAATTTCAAAACTTAAATATAGACAAATATTAACTGAATTATTATGTTTGAGTAATGCTTTACCTTTGCCCAATATTTCTCACTGTGCATTCCTAAAGTTGTTCTATAATTAAATAAGTGTATCTTAGATTAATGCTTTCTAAATTTTTCCACATCATCATTCACACAGAAAGTATTAATATTTGTATGACTCATTGGAGTAAATGTTTGGGACTGCTCCCAGTTGACCAGAACTGGCCAGAAAGACTGCCCATATCTTTTCTTATTTCCCTGTGGCATGAAAAGTTTAAAATGTGATACACAATCATTTTTGTATCTTTTATTTACATTTTTCTGTTTTTTTAAGTGAATTAAATAATGACAAGGATTCCATCAGTATTTTTTTTCATTATTACTGGTATTTTAATCACTTTGTCTTCAATGTCTTTATGTTTTGAGTACAATATAAATATATCACTCTCATTCCCAGTAGTAAGGCTTTAGAGAAGTAAAAAGTAACTCAACCATAGTGGATTGACATTGAATTGATTTCTTGCTGCTGTAGCAAATTGCCACAAACTTAGTTACTTTAAACAACACAAATGTGTTCTTTTATCATCTGGAGGTCTGGAGGCCACAATATGTCTCAAAGGACATTGATGGATCTTACATGCAGCAATTATTGCTGTAGTATTTACTAACTAGTGAATTCTTTATTTCCTTCATTCCTTCCACCTTAATACTGGGAATTTTCTAAGGAACAGCTCTCCCTCTTTTCTATTATATAATTATTCAGTTATTTATGTCAGTATGAACTCATGGGTATTTATTTTTTCTCTAGTATATAATCCAGTATCATTTACTTTATTGCATAAATTGTTTCAGTTTTAGCCTTTGGAAACTCCTTCCTGTTGCCCTTTTTGAGCACTTCCTTTCCTGTGATTCCACAAAGTGTTCCAGGCTAATATTATGTATTTCTGCAAGTAGCTTCAATGTTTGGCTTAATGGAAGCTGAATTTTAAGATCTGCTTTCTATATTCAATCTGTAATGTTACATTGTTTTCTCTGCTCCTGACCTAGAAGCACCATTTCTCTAAGGAATCTTAGTTTCTTTAATTACAGAGTATTTAGAAACTAAGTAATCAATGAGTTTTTGTCACTACTAGGGTGTTACTTCCAGACCTCCTTGAAGACAGAGCTTTAAATGTATACATGTATCATTAAATTAAATCTGAGCAGTTAAAAGTGTCTAAAATGTCTTCCTTGTTCTACTTGGGTAAATATGTAATTAATCGAAGTCTTAAGAATTTCTAGAGAAGATTGGCAACGTATTTTAAAATGAATTTTCCTTGCAGAATACCATAAACCATGAAGTTAGGAGTGAATACTTCTTGTTTTCTTTATTATATTTTATCATATGTCTTAAAATGTTGAAGTTTTCTTAGGCAATTGATAATTGCTAAATTTTCAATTTGGTTATATAATTATATTTCACATTGCATTCTTTCTAAGTTCTGGAAAGATACCTGAAAGCTCACACAACCTATCTATGACCTGAAATTGGGTATGACAAACTATCTTTAATATAGTAGAGAACTGAATTCCTGAAAAGTTAGCAGTTTTATGTGGTACAAAGATATTAATTATGTGAATTTTTCCCCCTTGAGGTGGTCTCATGGATTATAACCATTTGGATATTTGGTTCACTGACAATTTTCTTGCTGGCCAGAGTTCTTGGTGGAGAAGTAAGTTGTTAATTTTGAAAGTACCCTTTGTTTTTTATGGTAAGCTTTATTTTTGATACTGCAGATACCATTATACTCATTATAATTACTTTTAAGTTATATTAGTTCGTTTAAGTTTTTCAATATCTGAAATGTCTTTCTTATTCTACTACTTGGATAAATATGTAATAAGAATAAGCATACTCAGTAAATGTTACAATGAATGAAGAGAAATGGGAAGTTGCCATATCACTGATCAAATAATATGTAGTTTTTTGGGGAAGAATACAATTTATTTTCTTACAGCAGTTTTCAAGTTTGTTCGTAAGTTAGTTCGCAGGTTGCCACAGAGATTTCTTTATATGTGTTATATTTATCAATATTCCCATGTTAGAAATTAAAATAATTTTTTAAAAAATAATTTTTTAAAAATTATAAAATTATAATTTTATAATTAAAAAATGGGAGTTCATAACTCACTTGAAACTAATGTTTGAAATATGATATGTCAAGAGCTTTGTAAGGTTTTGAACAACCAATAAAAAAATATATATTTTCCATGTTAGAAATTAAAATAATTTTTTAAAAATTATAAAATTATAATTTTATAATTATAAAATTATAAAAATAATTTAAGATATTTGTTTTATTTCAAGCTAATAATAAACCAACTATAAACAATACATTTTGAAGAAAATTAACTATCTTTTTCCTAAACAAAACAGTGAGAAGAGTAGCATTGCTTTAGATTTTTGCAAGTAGCTTCAAAGTTTGGCTTAATGGAAGCTGAATTTTAAGATCTGCTTTCTATATTCAATCTGTAATATTACATTGTTTTGATTAAAGTATGTAGAGAAAATAAGAATTCATACAGATAAATAATTGGAAAAGTGGGCTGGCCATAGCCCAGTGGCAGAGTGCTTGCCTAATACTTGTGAGCCCACTGGGTTTGATTATTAGCACCACATAAAAATAAACAAATAAAATAAAGGCATGCTGTTCATCTATAACTACAAAAGAAAATTAAATTTTAAAATTGGGAAAAAATGTTTTAATAGCTTTTTCAGATAATTGTGGGTATTCTTCTCTGATACTGCACCAAAACATAACTACTCAGTTTCTTTAAAGTTGCAGTAAGGAATCTCAAATTTTATCTATGAACTTTTCATACTGTCTTTACTTTGAATGAATCTTTATTCCCTGTGTATGATTTTGGACATAAGAGAAAAAAACATCATTAGTTCACTGGAGTTTTGCAGATACTTTTAAATGTTGACCATTTACTTGGGGATTGAACTCAACTATACTTTGCCACTGAGCTATATCCCCAGTTTTTATTTTTTATTTTAAAACAATATTTTGCTAAGTTACACAGGCTAATGTTGACCTTGCTATCCTTTTGCCTCTGCTTTTCAAGTACATGTGATTGTTCGTGTGTACCACTATGCCCACCCAAAGTTTTTAAAGTTCATATTTTTGCTGCAACAATTTACTGTTAAGTTTTTATTAATGCAGCAGATACACTTTATTAATTTTCAAAAGCATGTTTGCTGTAACCCAATCTGAATAACCATGGTTTCTCTATCTGTTGTTCTTTGAAGTAAAAATGATGTTCCATGGAATAAGGGTTTTTTTTTTAGGGGGTGGGGGGGTATCAGGGATTGAACTCAGGGCCCTTTGACCACTGAGTCCCATCCTAAGCCCTGTTTTGTATTTTATTTAGAGACAGGGTGTCACTAAATTGCTTAGCACCTCACCATTGCTGAAGCTAGCTTTGAACTCGAGATCTTCCTGCCTCACCTTCCAAACCACTGGGATTACAGGCATGCGCCACTGCAGCTGGCCGCAAATAATGTTTTATTATTATTATTATTTTTTAGTAAATTTTTTTAGTTGTAAATGGACACAGTATCTTTATTTATTTTTTTTATGTTGTGCTCAGGATCAAACCCAGTGCCTCACCCTCACCCTAACCCTAACCCTAACCCAACCCTAACCCTAACAGGCATTCAACCACTGAGCTACGACCCCAGCCCTATTACTATTATTTTTAAGAATTTTGATCTTATAATCTTTGAAAGCAGTCTCTGAGATCCCCAAGGGTCTAGAGGCCATTTTGAGAACCTTTAGCAGTTTATTCTGCAGAAAGAGTAAAACAGAGGAGATGCCAAAGTTATAATATGACTCATCAGGCTGACTCTATGAATAGCAAATGTTAAATGCAGAAACATTAAGCTGTCTTCTTTTTTTTAATATTTATTTTTTAGTTGTAGTTGGACACAATACCTATATTTTATTTATTTTTATGTGGTGCTGAGGATCAAACCCAGGGCCTCAAGCATGCCAGATGAGTGCTCTACTGATGAGCCACAACCCTAGTTCCAAGCTCTCTTCTTATATTTGATAGTAACATAAGAAGTTTTTTTACTTAGCAAGTTTGTTACTTAGCTCTAGTTGATTTGCTTTCCAACTTCCAAAATTATGTTGCTATTATCTGTATCCTCTTCTTGTTCATTCCTCTTATAAAAAGAAGCCTCAGGATAGAATATAGCTCAGTGGTAGAGTGTCAGCCTTGCAGTATATGAAGCCCTGGGTTTGATCCCCAACACCTGCAAAAAAAAAAAAAAAAAAAGTCTCTTTCTTTTCCCTTCCCATTGAATGGAGTTTCAGGAGGGAATAATATTAGATCTATAATAAGTATATAGCAACGTCTATGAAGCTTTTTCATTCTACATATGGAAATCCTAATTCTAATAACACTTAAAATGATATTTTATTATTTAAAAATTTTTTTTGGTTGTAGATGAACATAATACCTTTATCTTATTTATTTTTATGTGGTATGGAGGATTGAACCCAGTGCCTCACACATGCCAGGCAAGCACTCTACTACTGAGCTGGAACCCTAGCCCCTAAAATTATATTTTAATGTATATTTTTCTTATATCCTGGACAAACATAGTCTATGTCTATGAAAAAATAGATATCACTAAAATTGTTTGTGTGATTTAAGAGTTAAGAAACCTTGATCTTAATTGAATTTCATCACTTACTAGCTTTGCTTTCCTAAGTACAGTATTTGGTCTAATCAAGAATCAGTTTCTGGGCTGGGGATGTGGCTCAAGCCGTAGCGCGCTCGTCTGGCATGCATGCGGCCCTGGTTCGATCCTCAGCACCACATACAAACAAAGATGTTGTGTCCGCCAATAACTAAAAAATAAATTAAAAATAAAAAAAAAAACCAGTTTCTTAGCCAGGTATGGTGGCGCACACTTGTAATCCTGGTGGCTGGGGAGGTGAGGCAGGAGGTTAGGGATTTCAAAGCCAGCCTCAGCAAATTCATGAGATTCTAAGCAAGATAGTGAGACCCTGTCTCTAAATAAAATACAAAAAGGGCCAGGCACAGTGGCGCACGCCTGTAATCTCAGCGGTAGGGAGGCTGAGGCAGGAAGATCATGAGTTCAAAGCCAGCCTCAGCAAAAAGTGAGGTGCTAAAAAACTCAGTGAGACCTTGTCTCTAAATAAAATACAAAATAGGATTGAGATGTTGTTCAGTGGTCATGTGTCCCTGAGTTCAATCCCTGGTACCAAAAAAAAACAAAAAACGAAAAGGGTTGGGGATGTTGCTCAGTGGTTAAGCGCCTCTGGGTTCTCCCTGGTACCAAAAAATTTCTTCATAATGGAACAATAATGCATACTTCATAAAGAGTTGTTTCTTAATTTGATCTTTATAGTTTGAAGGCCTCTGTCAGAACTTGCTATATAGAATTCACTAATATTTTTCTCTTCAGTCTCTCCTGGCTGCCCTCCCTCCCTTCTGGTCTGCATTTGTCACATCTAGCTTCTCTGGGCCTTGGATTTTTCATCTAACTAAGTTGTTTGTTGTGCCTTTAATCCTCCACAATTTAGGGAAAGTAGAGACAAAATAAAATGTAGATATATAAGGAAGGTGATTGGATAAATAATCCTGAAACTCAAGAGAGAGGTAGGGCTATAAATATAAATTTGAGTATCATCAGCAAATGTTAATTGAAACCAAGGTGGTTGGTGCTAGGGCCTAGGAACATTGCAGAATATATGATAATTTGAAATATATTGGGTATGATACTTTTTGATTTCTTATTAATTCTTACACTTATATAAGTACAATGAATATTTTATGATTAATAGTGATTAAAATGAGTATCTTGATTTCTATGATATTTATTTAAAATTTTGAAAATCTACAGGTTGCATATGGCCAAGTTCTTGGAGTTATAGGATATTCATTACTTCCTCTCATTGTAATAGCTCCAGTACTTTTGGTGGTTGGATCATTTGAAGTTGTGTCTACTCTTATAAAAGTAAGTTATGTGGTAATGAATTACATGAAGTAGTTTATTGTTTTCTAGTAAAGCAAAAGTTTCCTGATCCTCTAAGACTGTGATAATCTAAAAGTGTTTCTCAGTTTGTATAAATATGTCAAAATCGACTCATAATGTTATGTAAAACTAAAAAGGATAATTTTTTTTAAAAAAAATTAAAGAATAGTAGTATTTTGGAAAAGAGAACATCCTTTAATAATTATTGGGCATTTTGAGCCGGGTGTGTTGGCACATGTCTATAATCCCAGTGGCTGAAACAGGAGGATCAGAAGTTCAAAGCCAGCCTCAGCAATGGCAAGGCACTAAGCAACTGAGACTCTATCTCTAAATTAAAAATACAAAATAGGGCTGGGGATGTGGCTCAGTGATCGTCATTGAGTGCCCCTGAGTTTAATCCCCATTATCAAAAGAGAAAAAAAAAAAAAAGGAACGTGCATTTTGGAACCATGCAGTTCTGAATTCAAATCCTGTTTCTACATGATTTTTTTTACCTTCTAGTCTTCTGAAGGTATCTTAACTTTTCTTATTCTCAATTTGTTCATACTAATGGGAATCTCTTTTGTTCTTTTCTTTTTTTTTTTTTTTGGTAGCGGTACTAGGGATTGGGCCCAGGGACCCAATCTAGTACTGCACTACATCCCCACCTCTTTTTATCTCTCTTACTTGCTGAGTAAGGCTGGCCTTGTAATCTTCTTGCCTCAGCCTCCCGTGTCACTGGGATTATCGGCCTGTGTCACTGCACCTAGCAACACTGGATGTCTTAACAACTGGTTTTTAAGGATTTGTTGTGAAGATTTTAAAGTATATAGATGCAGTGGTTGGCACACAGTAGGACCTCCAAGGATAACTGTTATTACAGATATACATAAGATTATTTTGAGATCATCTTCTATGTTCAAACTGTTTGAATACTTCAAACCAAGAAAAGCTTCCTTTCCTCTACATTCTAACCCTGAAATCTTTTTTATCTAATTGGCATTATTAGAATTTAGTTTAAAAATCTCAGGATTCAGCAGCAAGCCTCATGCTGGCATTTAATTATTCTAGCTTTATGAACTTTACTAAGTCATTTAGGGTTACTTTATGCCATGTTTTCTTTTACTTGGTTAATCATGTTTGAATATTTGAAACCACTTAAAATTACTAAAAGTATTGTCACTTTTAGTCATTAGCTATAATGAAAGTTGGTCTTTAATATTTTTTATACAACATATGAATGTATCATAAAACAGAAATATCTTTTGAAAATATCATTTAAAATTTAGAATAAAATCAGGTTTCTTAATTTTTTTTTTTGCATTTTTTTTTCTTTTTTTTTTTTTATTGGTTGTTCACAACATTACAAAGCTCTTGACATGTCATACTTCGAACAATAGTACTGGAGATTGATCCCCAGCCCTTTTTATTTTTTTATTTTGAGACAGGGTATTGCTAAGTTGCTCAGGGCCTGGCTAAGTTGCTAAGGCTGGCTTTGAACTTAAAGTCCTTCTGCTTCAGCCTCCAGAGTCACTGGAATTACAGGTGTGCACCACTGCACCTAGCTCTTAAAATTGTTTTTAAACTTCAGATTTTTCTTTGCTAATTTTTTTCCCTAATAATTTAATCTTTTGTGGATATAGTGGACTATTATACACATTTCTAATTTCAGTCCAGTTAATTCTAGGATTACAATACAGTTTAATCTACAAGCACTAATTTTAACATTTAATTCCTATAATACATTATCTAACCATTTATAACAAAAAATCCTGATATATAAATGCAATTTGATCATAATTTTATTTTATGTATTTCTTTATATCTTTCTGTACGCTTCAATTATTTTGTGGGTCTTTTTTTTTTTAATATTTAAAAAGCATGGTAGAAACTTGGACCATCCCAAGTATGTTTCAGTCAGTTTTCCAATATCTTATTATCATTATCATCATCATCATTTATTTATTTATTTATTTTTAAGAAAAACTGTTCTAGTTCTCAACTGAAGTCAATTTTCCCCCCCAGGGATGTTTGGAAATATCTAGAGGCATTTTTGAGTATCATAGACAGGAGGAGGTTATTGGCATGGTGTGTAGAGGGCACATGGTAGGCAAAGGGCAGGACAGCTCATCATAACAAAGAATTATTTGGCCTAATTGTTAACATTGCATGTGTGAGACATTCTGGCTAATGCTGTCTGTTTCTATTATAGTATCCTTGATTTTTCGCCTAATTTTATGTTATAAAATGTCTAAAGTGACTAAGCCAGGCAAAGTAGACATGCCTGTAATCCTGGCTGCTTGGGAGGCAGAGGCAGCAGGGTCACACATTTGAAGCCAGCCTGAGCAATTTAGCAAGACCCTTTCTCAAAATGGGCTTGGGAATATATTTTTTTAATCTGTTCTCCTGCTTTTTTAACAATTTTCTACCTCTTGAGGGTAATTTTGTTTTAAGAATTTGGCCCAATAACTTTTTTAAAAATTGGCTTTATCAGGACTGGGGACTGGCTCAGTGGTAGGGCATTTGCAGAAGACACCCCAAGTGATTATTATGATATACAGGTTTCATTTTTTAAAAAGACCATCTCATGGTTAAGGAACAGAGCAAGGATGAATATTCTTAATGTTTTTAATATTTTTAGTTATTGTTTACCACAATTGGTGGTTGATTTTTTAAAATATTGTAAACATTATTTTTACTCTATGATAACCAAAAAGGTATTTGATTTGCTAATGTGCTGCCTTTTGTCTTTCTTTTCTTCCTTTTTCTTTTTTTTAAGCTGTTTGGTGTGTTTTGGGCTGCCTACAGTGCTGCTTCATTGTTAGTGGGTGAAGAATTCAAGACCAAAAAGCCTCTCCTGATTTATCCAATCTTTTTATTATACATTTATTTTTTGTCTTTATATACTGGGGTGTGATCCAAGTTCATTCATGAGTAGAAAAAGACAATGTTACATTTGTATGTAGGCTGGGAATTCTTGCTGACCCTTGGGAAAAAACGTTGCTGGTAAACTTTCATGTTTGAGATGAAAAGGAAGGTTTAAGATCTTTTTACAACTATTTTTTGTATGTAATTAAGCAGTTACAGTTATCTGGGATTTTTTGGTCAGAATTCTAAACTGTTTGATTCTTCATATTCCAGTGAATAAAATATGAAAGCATTGTGTTTTTAATATTGTGTTAATATTCACCTAAAAATTTGTGCCAAAAGCACCTGACTCGGTAATTGTATTTCACTTGAAGGATAAATTTGACAGCATCCTGATAATCTAAAAGTGCAATGTTTTTTTTAACGAGTTTTCTCCTGCATCACAGATCCTGTAGATATATATTTATATTTATACATATATATTTATGAAATAATTCTTATTATTCACAAAATATATTTCTTAATAGCCTAAAAATTAAAATATTATGCTTAAACTTTTCTTCAATTGGCCATTAATCTTTTTTATTTAAAATTTAAAATTTGTTTTTTAAATTGTATGTAATTTTTAAAATAATAGCTGCTGATGTAGACATGATTTGTGAAAGTATGCTTTTAAAAACCATTTTGAATGTCTTAAACATCTGACTTAAAGTTTCTGTTTAACTTTCTGACCAAAGGAACAAGAGCATATGGCATTCATTAAAGTTATTAATATATAGAAAAACAATGATATTTATAGCATCAGTAAATATTTTTAAGTGATACTCCTAAATCAGAGAAGTATGGGAAAAAGACATAAAATCTTGTGGTCCTGAGCAATGTTATATGAAGTAGAAAAAAATAAAATGTTTCCCAGCTGTGTGTTTTGTTTTATAACACCTTGTCCTGTATTACTTGATATTTTAACAAGTATCAGGCACTCTCTAACAAATGTACAATTTTTTTCTAAAGGAAATATTAAGAAATTTTTATTAGTGAAATTTTTGTTGTAAATAATTCATAGATTTTACATGTATCCTTAATATTTGTAAATCAGATAAAATATTTTGGGCTGGGAATGTAGCTCAGTAGAGCACTTGTCTAGCATGTATTCAAGGCCTTGGGTTTGAGCCCCAGCACCACACACACACACACACACACACACACACACACACACAATTTATTTATGTCCATAAAATAGCAAATGCCTACTAACTATCAGCAAATTATTGTATTTTCCTTTCTGTAGTTAAGCTGGAAGAGTTAACTGCTGTCTTCAAAATGATAACATGGTTATCTCTTGGTATGTGTTCCTTTAGCAAACTTATTCATCAGGAAATATCCAGCACTTTGGAATCAAGCCTGCACATTAGCAAGGTATCAAGCCCATCTTTCTCCCTTTCCCCAGTCCCTCCAAAAAAAAGAAAATTTTATTTAATTAATTTATTTAGTTTTTGGGTGCTGGGGATTGAACACAGGACCTGTACTTGCTAGGCAAGCACTCTACCATTGAGCTATACCTTCAGCCCCCAGAAAGTTTATTTTAAACTAGGAAAAATGTAGAAAAGGGGGTTTAGGAAAACAGACTAAAAACACCAGAAACATAAAGCTTCTAGAATTTAAAACAATAAATAGTAAGGAAAGTTGTATGACTATGGAAGTAGCAATTGTAAGATAAGCATTTGTCATGCTTAGAAATTCGTGAGGTCAATCCTTTGTTACAGTGTGTTTTTTGGTGTTCATAGTGTTGACTCTTGGAATCTTCCCCCAAAAGCTTAGAGGTCAGGACCAGGTCAGGGATATTTCAGACTACCTCTATCAAAAAACAGTTTAATTTTTTTAAATTATCATTGCTTTAAGATGTGCATGGAATTGGGCCTATAGCCCAGTGGTAAAATGCTTGCATCACATGGGTAAAGACCTGGGTTCAATCTCCAGACACCGGAATCCACCCAAAAAAAGATTTACATAAAAAGTTCACTTGGGATGGGGTTGTGGCTCATTGATAAAATGCTCACCCAGCACATGTGAAGCCCTGGGTTCAATCCTCAGCACCACATAAAAATAAATAAAATAAAGGTATTGTGTCCTACTACAACTAAAAAATTGAATATAAAAAAAAAAAGTTTACTTATGGCCTTGTGCAGTGGTACACACCTGTATTCCCAGTGGCTTGGGAGGCTGAGGCAGGAGAGCTAGAGTTCAAAGCCAGCCTCAGCAAAAGTGACGTACTAAGGAACTCAGTGAGACCCTGTCTCTAAATAAAATACAAAATAGGGCTGGGGATGTGCCTCAGTGATTGAATGCCCCTGAGTTCAATACCCAGTACCCCCCCCAAAAAAAAATTCACTTATGGATCATGTTTATACCTAAAGATATAGAAAAAAATTAAGTAGTCATGTTCTACAAACAGTACTTTAGGGCTGGGGATATAATTCAGTTGGTAGAGTTCCTGCCTCACATGCATGAGGCCCTGGGTTCAATTCCCAGCACTACCAAAAAAAAAAAAAAAAGTAGTTTACTAAGATCTCTAAAATTTTATGTGCCATTATAAATCCTTTATATCTAAAGGCCTTACAGACTGTTTTATATATAATAGTATGTCCATTTCTAAAAAAAATTCCCCCAATTTAATATCTTAATATGTAGTTCTAAATTAGTAAAAATTTGTATTAACATAAAATACAAAGTAGATTTTTATTTAAGTATTGTTGAAAATGTAATCATTTTTTCCTTCTTACTTTTTTTGACAGTTCTGGGGATCGAACCCAGGGGCACTCTACCATTGGGTTATATCCCCAGCCACCTCTCACCCTTTTTCTTGTCTTATTTTGAGACAAGAGTCTCTCAAATTTGCCCAAACTGGCCTTGAATTTGCTATTCTTCTATCTTAGCCCTTCTAGTTTCTGGGATGACAGGCAATGCACCCCTGTACTTGGCTTAAAATTTTTGATGTAATAAAACATTGAGCCCGGCATGGTGGTGCATGGTTGTAATTCCAGCAACTCAGAAGGCTGAGGCAGGAGCCTGATCACAAGTCCAAAGCTAGCCTCAGCAATTTAGCATGACCCTAAACAACTTAGTGGGATCCTCTCTCAAAATAAAAAGTAAAAAGGGCTGGGGTATACCTCAGTGATAGAGTCCTTACCTAGAATGCCCGAGGTCCTGGGTTCAATCCCTAGCATTCGGGGAAAATTTTGAATAAAATAAAAACAGTATTTTTCGTATTCCACAAAACTAGTTGAGTATTTTTAAATGATAGTTATTTGGTTTTTACATTATTATTAGTGCACATTTTAGCTATTCTATGTCTTCAGGAACTTGTGACACTTTTGTTTTTAAAATAAAACCTTACTCCAAGCTGCATACAGTGGTGCATGCCTGTAATCCAAGCTATTCAGGAGCCTGAGGCAGGAGGATCACAAGTTCAAGGCCAGCCTGGGCAACTTAGTGAGACTGTCTAAAAATTTTAAAAGGGCTAGTGATATAGCTTAGGGTACACTGTCACTGGGTTCAATCCTCAGTACTATTAAAAAAAATATTTGGGGCTGGGGTTGTGGCTTAGCGGTAGAGCGCTCGCCTCACATGTGCGAGACCCTGGGTTCGAGCCTCAGCACCACATAAAAATAAATAAGTGAAATAAAGCTATTGTGTCCAACTACAACTAAAAAATAAATATTGAAAAAAAATTAAAATTTTATCCTATAATAGATGTTATTGAGCAATTTTTATTAAAAACAAAATAAGGAAAAAAGAAAACTTGGTGAAGCATTTACATGGATGAAGTGAAATTATACAAAGAGATGTTATTGGGAGAAATTTGTCATCTGATGATAAAGGAGAAATAAAACAAATGATTACTGCTTTCCATATAATAAGGATTATTATATGAAAGCATGTTGAATTTTGTTCTGTTGTATAATAGAGCTTTTATGTAATTAATTCTCCAGGTAAAGTATCTTAAATTATAAGTATCATTTGATGAGACAACCATATATTTTATAATCCTATGCACAGTTACCTGCCATGATAATTAGTCTCTCCAGTAAAAGTATTCTTGTTTATGATGATGGTCATAGGTGGTAAATCCCTCATATTTGATCTTCCAAATGGGACTTAGCAAAATCTTAACCTAATACAAATTCATTTTCAAAGGATGTACCGATGAGGACCTGAAGAATGAAATGTTGCAGTTGGTACCTTGTGTGAAGGCACAATATATAGTCAAATATTTATTGACTCCTTACATGTGCCAGGTGAGGAGTATAACAACACGCAAAGAAGAGAACACTTTAATCAGCTTATATTACTGAGGAAGACAACCAATTTATATCACAAACAAATTGTAAAACAATTGCAACAAATAAAAAAAGATTTGTGGTGGTAAGAGAATATATAATGGAGGAATTAAAAAGAAACCTTCCTTTTCTGAGACAGTGATGCTTAATCTGAAATCATGGGAATAAATAAAAGTTACCTGGACAAGGAAGGTAGGGAGGACTACTCCATGTAGAAGGATTAGCAAGTGAATGGAAGAAAATGAAAGCCACTTTGGCTAAAGTTCCATAATTAATGAAATTGAACACGTATTTCAGCTTCATCTGACATTGTAGGTATATGCTTGCTTTGTCAAAGCTTTTGATTAGAAATATACAACCAGAACTCTGTGTTTTTAATATTAAACACCAAAATATGCAGTTCTACTCTAATATACACCCAACAAAATGTCCTGAGAGACATGTAACAAGAATGTGCATAGTAAACCAGGTTGGTGGCACATACCCGTAATCCTAGAGTCTTGGAGGCTGAGGCAGAAGAACTGGCAAGTTCCATGCCACTCTGGGCAACTTAGTAAGATCCTATCTCAAAACAAATAGGGCTGGGGATATAAGTCGTAGAGTGTTCCTGGTTAAAAAAAGTTTTTTTTTTAAATTTGTGTGGTGCATGACTATAATACCAGTGACTCAGGAGGCCGGGGCAATAGGATCACAAGTTCAAAGCCAGCCTCAGCAACCAAGGGAGGCCCTAAGCAATTTAGTAAGACCCTATCTCTAAATAAAATATTAATAAGGGCTTGGGATGTGGCTCAGTGGTTAAGTGCCACTAGGTTCAATTCACAGAACCAAAAAACAAAAAAAATTCACTAGAAGCCCCACTCAGTGGCTTCCACCTCTGTCTTTTTGGACAAAACTGAATCACCTGACCACCTCTTGCTACAAGAGTATGGGGAGATATTTTAAGCAGTGTGCATTTCTGCCCTGAACAGAGTCAAAGTTCTGTTGGTAAGAAAGAATGGATTCAGGGGCTGGGGATGTGGCTCAAGCAGTAGCGCGCTCACCTGGCACGCATGCGGCCGGAGTTCGATCCTCAGCACCACATACCAACAAAGATGTTGTGTCCGCCAACTAAAAAAAATAAATATTAAAAATTTTCTCTCAAAAAAAAAGAATGGATTCATATAGTAATTGCTAGTCATATATTGATATTTGTTGAGCACTTGAAGTAAGGGTAGTGCAAATGAACTAATTTCCAATTTTAAGTTTGAAGGACTATATATGGTTTCTTGCTACCATATTAGATCAGTAAGTGTTCATATTGAGATGATTCATAATTGTTAACCATTCACTACCATTCATAACCAAAATTAGAAACCCAAATTGAAAAATTGTCATATTTCCTGGGTATAGTGGCACACACCTATAATCCCAGCAGCTCAAGAAGCTGAGTCAGGAGGACCTCAAGTTCAAAGCCAGCCTTAGCAAAAGCAAGGTGCTAAGAAACTCAGTGAGACCCTGTTTTTTGTGTTTACACAGGAGGGCTGGAGATGTGGCTCAGTGGCCAAGTGCCCCTGAGTTCAATCCCTGGTATAAAAATAAGAAAAATTGTTGTATATTTAC